AGCAGCTGTCAGCGTCTCCAAAGTTCAGCTCAGTCTCAGCTCCTCCCTTACCTCTTGGGTTTCCCTGTGTGGTTCATGTGTGGTATCCGGATTTCTCATATTTTTGTCAGCTCAGTGGTGCGTTTGAAGTTGTGTCTAAAAAATACCATGTTATTCAGAGTGAGTGTTTTCTGTGGACACTGATTTGAGGTGTGTGATCTGCCCTGTGGCTGGCTCTCACCCATTGATGTGGCCTTCTCGCCCTCTTGGTAATCATCCTTCGTCATTTTACTGGAGTCCTGTAGCATTTGGCAGAGGCACTCCTTGGAATCCCTCTCATCTCAACCTTCATTGTGTGGTCCTCAAGGTTTTCTTCCCGTTTTACTGGAGGCCGTCTTCCTCCATCCATTCTCTGAGTGTGGGAATGACCTGGGGCTGGGTGCTGGGTGTCCTCCTCGACAGTCTCTCCCAGGTGGTGATGTGCAGTGTCAGGGCTCAGACACAGTCTGCAGACACATCTGTAGACACTGTCCCAGGTGGTGTCGTGCAGTGTCAGGGCTGAGACACAGTCTGCAGACAGTCTGTCCTAGGTGGTGTCGTGCAATCTCAGGGCTCAGACATAGTCTGTAGACACAGTCTGCAGACAGTCTCTCCCAGGTGGTGTTGTGCAGTGTCAGGGCTCAGATGCAGTCTGTAGACCTGTCATCCCACATCTGTGTCCTCATCTCTTAGGGCTGTTCTGAATGCTGTTCTTACATGTGCTGTTCCTCATTAGAAGTTGTGCTCACCTGTCTAAGACACTTACACTGCACAGGTCCAGCACGGAGCTTTCATTTCCATGCTTCCTGTCTGTTCCGTCCTAGTGTTTGCTCTCTCAGCAGACTAAACACTCTCTCAGTTGCTTTAAAAGGAAACCTAAGAGCCCTGCTCGACTTCTGCCTTTCCTTCATTCTGTATTTAATTTCTGAGAGAGTCGGGTTGTTCTCTGTCTAAAACAAGGGTCAGGAAACCTTTGTAGAGGACCAACTGGTGTTCTCAGCTTAGTGTGCCATGTGGTGTGCACTGTCACTCTGCCGTTGATCAGAAAAGCAGCCGTAGATGATGTGAAAGTGATCGTGTTGAGGTTGGGCTCGGTGCTGGCTCAGTTGGCCTGTGGTCATAGTGACTTCTGACCCACTCCTGCTCACATCCATCTATTTCCCTCCATCGCTACTGCTCACCTGCATTTCTTGACTAGACTGTCAGAGGTCTTCTCTCCTTCCTATCTTCTTCCCATTTGTTCTTTACCAACACTTAGGGTCGTCTTAAAAGTAGAACTCAGAAGCTTTACCTGATCTCCTAGTGCTGTGTTAATCAGAGCTGCCATTCCTTGCCTGACCGCAGCACCTGCTCTTACTTGGGAGTTGCCTCACTCTCATCCTGCTGTTCTGTGCCTTCCTGACCAGTCCAGTCACACTGGTCTCCTTGGTGGTCTGAGTCTGTGCTGCACTCCAGGTGAGTTTGAATACCCAGTCTTCTGTTCTCCTGTTCCTCTCTGACTCAGGCCAGCATCTTCTCTTCTTAGAGTACTGCAGTGCTTTCTTCCTGGTTATTCCTGTCCACGGTCCTGTCTCCTTTAGATTATCTTCTGTGTTCCCAGACTGCAGTGCAAATCTGTTATTTCTGTGTTTAAATAATTTTAGAAGCTTCCTCTTCTTCCAGGATGTGTGAGATCCATGTGGTCTGAGCACACCTTCCTCCCTCTTTTAGTTAAGTTTTTTATTTCTATGTCCAGAAGATGTGACAAGAATAACGGAGAGGAGGAAAAGTTCATTTGGTCAGTGTCAGAGTTTCTGTCCACAGTTGGCCAGCCTTGCAGCTCTGAGCCTGAGGTGAGGCAAGACACCAGGTGGAAGGGCATGGAAGGGAAGAGTCAGGCTGTGGCCAAGGAAACAGAGAGAGCTCCACTTGCCAGGGACCCAGAGGCACCCCCAGTGACCCAGCCTGCCTACAGTCACCACCCAGTTAATTCATGTCAGTGTATGTATTAATCCACTGACTAGACTAGGTTACAGCTCTCACCCCGAACATTCCTGCTTGTCTTACATATGAGCTTTTTGGGGACATCTCGTATCTACCACAGCACTCCCCCTATTCACCTCTAACAGCTTTTCACTTGTCTTCCCTGGCCAGGCCAGTTTATCATCCCTAACATCTGGCCCAGGCGCCATCTTGTTCAGGCTGCCGCTCATGAGTTCCGAGCCAAACTGTGTGGTTCTGTATTCCCGGGTTCTTTCCTTAAAGCTTTACCACTTCATAGTGGGTGTCCTTGTGGTGCTTTAACTGGATCAGAGCCTTTGAAGAGGAGGGGAATGTGTTATATTAGTTTTCTAGCTCTCATGCCTTACATGAACTGAGTTTACTGTTCATGGAAGAGAACTTTTAAGCTTTCTCAAGGTCGCAGAGCCAAGTTAATGGTGGGTGTGATTCAATTTTTATGTAGCAATGACCTGGGTTCCCTTGGGAGGTAGTAAATTCCTGGCCTGATAATTTCTGCCTGAAACTCTGAGGCTTTTAAGAATATATAGAGGAGTGTCTACTGCCAGATTTATTTATTTATTTATTTTTAAAAGCCTCGGGGAACATAGCCATGGTGATTCCTTTTTTTTAAATTTATTCTTAAGTTTTAGGTGGACACAATATCTTTATTTTACATTTATGTGGTTCTGAGGATGGAACCCAGTGCCCTGTGCATGCTAGGCGAGCACTCCACCACTGAGCCACAACCCCAGCCCCACGGTGATTCCTCCATTTTTGTGTAGCAGCTTTAGTGTTAAAAGAGTGGCACAGCTGCTGGCTTGGATGGAGCGTGCACATCCTGAAGTCCAGAAGTGTTTCTGTTGGACCTTTACAGAAAGTGTTCACTAACCTGCAGTTTAGGATAAGATGAGGGATGGATGAGGAGGTCCCCGGGTGTCTTGCTTGTGTCTAAGATTCTGAAATCCACTGGACAGGAGAGAGAGAGAGGAATTTGGGATCATGGGCAGTACTGATCTTCATCACCCCGGGATAACTGCAGCTGGACAGCGTGCATGTGGGTCTGTGTGTTCCAACGGTGGCTGGGAAGCACTGGACCAGAGCTGGCAGAATGATGAGTTGTTAGCAAGTGTGTCGCAGATGCCACTCATGTTTGCGTTCTTGAGAGTTTGTGCATAAACTGGGAGATGAGGTGGCCTTCACCTGAAGAAATTTTTCTGTTGACGTTGGGGAGAGGTGAGTTGAAGATGTCTTTTCCCCCTGTGGGTGCTGGAGCTGGAACTCAGGGAGCTTAAGTTATAGGCACTGGACCACTGAGCTGCTCGTGTTATAGGCGGGCACTCAACCACTGAGCTGCTCAAGTTATAGCAGGCACTGGACCACTGAGCTGCTCGGGTTATAGGCGGGCACTCCACCACTGAGCTGCTCGTGTTATAGGTGGGCACTGTACCACTGAGCTGCTCGTGTTATAGGCGGGCACTCCACCATTGAGCTGCTCGTGTTATAGGCGGGCACTCGACCACTGAGCTGCTCAAGTTATAGCAGGCACTGGACCACTGAGCTGCTCGGGTTATAGGCGGGCACTCCACCACTGAGCTGCTCATGTTATAGGCGGGTACTGGACCACTGAGCTGCTCATGTTATAGGCAGGCACTAGACCACTGAGCTGCTTATGTTATAGGCGGGCACTCGACCCAGTTCCTGACCCTCCACTCAGGTACAGCTCCTAGCCCAGTGCTGCTCTGCCAGAGCACAGGATCTGAGGAACGTGGTTCCTTGTCGTACAGGCACCATAGAACACGTAAACTAAGAAGGCTGTGACCTCAGTAGGAGTGACGATCTCCTGGGACACCATTGTGTATGTCTGCTATTGGCTGTCATTTTGTGGTGTCTGGCTGTATTTTGTCACATGGAAGAAAGGCAAAGATGACTGCCTGTTCCTTTATTGACAACACAGAAGGCAGACCAGTGAGCCGGCCCCATGCTGCTTCTGTAGTGTCAGGCTTGGTTTTAAGTGGGAGGCATTGAGGGTGCCCATGGCAGCATCACCTGGGACTGAATGCGGAGCTGCCTGTCGGAAGAGCTGTTTTGTGCCATGTGACTGTTGTGTCTCTGCTGTTGTATGGAGCATTCTGACCAGCACACAAAGGTTGGCAGCCTAGTTTCTTCCAGCTTTAAAATGGTCCTTGAGTTATAGAGTACCTGCTGTTTACTTCATCTCCTAGCACCTGTTCATCTTGCATTCTGCCTTCATATCTCCCTGGAGAAAGGGGTGAGGCTGTGCCTGTGCTTGCCCCTCACCAGCCTCTTCAGCCTCCCTCTCCTCACTCCCTCTCCTCCCTCTCCTCACTGAGTGGGTGTGAATTCCATGCATCTGTTCAGAGCATGTGGAGAGCACTGTGTGCTGGGCACATAGTAGGTGCTCATCGTGTTTCATTTTTCTTTTTGGAGCTGCTGGGGATTCGAATTCTATCAACAAAGGTTTCCTTGTAGTGGTGCCACGTTCCCTCCACTTCCTTTGGCTTGCATTGGTGGTGCCGAGGATGGAATCCGGGGCTTATGTGTTGCTGCCCTGCTCCCCAGCACCAGCCAGCCCACGTCCAGCTGCCATCTCACCCGCTGCTGCTCACCCTGGTCGTGTGGGAGGGCAGGTGGGCCATCAATTGTTCTTGTGTGGTGTCCTTTACAGGACTCAGTCTGATGTCAAAGACAGGATTTTTTAAAAAAAATAATAATTTAAAGATGGTGATATTATCATTGGAGGGAGTGTGAGAGAAATTGCCTGTTATTTTGAACAGTGTATCCCTCACCTCTTTTTTTAAAAAAATATTTACTTGTTAGTTGTAGTTGGACACATTATCTTCATTTTATTTATTTATATGTGGTGCTGAGGATCGAACCCAGGGCCTCCCATGTGCCAGGCAAGCGCTCTGCTGTTGAGCCCCAGCCCCAGCCCCCCTTACCTCTTTTTAAACAAAGTATTTCTCTCTGCCTTTCTCTTCCAGGAGGAAGAGCCTTGTGAGAGCAGCAGTGAGGAAGAGTTTGGTGCTGGCGAACATCAGGGCCCGAATTCTGTTGTTGATGTTGAGGATCTTGGAAAAGTGATGGATCTTATGAAGAAAGAAAAGGTATTGTTCTTTGGGAAGTGCTCACTGATCCTGCCGGCGGCTGATCTCCAGTGTTCTGTTTTTCATGTGGTCCGTCAGAGCTCACAGTGAGAGTCTCCATTCTCTGGTTTCTGTCTTGATAGTTTGACAATTTTTTTTTTTGCCACATGCAGGAGTTTTGTGGAACTTGTTTCTTCTCGGCCCTGTAAAAATAGACTCCTAGGAGGATAAGCAGGGGGTGGGAGGAGGACAGAGGAGAAGGTGGACGGTGGATTGGGTGGGCCTCGCTGTCTGAGGGTTTGTGTGGACTCTGCTCAAGTCTGCTATGTTCTATACAGGCCAAGAGGTGCGGGGCTCTCGTCTGGCAGCCTGGGTTGCAGCCTTGAGATCAGCATGGGGGGCTCTAGGAAGACGGAAAGTGCTGGAATGGGCTGGGAGTGCTTAGGGGTAGGTGAGAGTGTATAACCTATTAGGGTTTAATGTGGATTCTAATCATCTGCAATTTAAATAATACATACAAACCTAAAGACTAAAAAAATGAGAGTTCCCTAAACTGAAAATACATCAGATCTATAAGCCTTGGAACAAAGAAGATGTAAATCTTTTAAAATCTGAGAAAACCAGGGAAAAACCTATACAAAATCAAGTGACAGTTCAGTAAGGCAGCAGGATGTAACGTGAAAGAGTTAATAAGCTTTGTATTTCTATGTTATAGCCCGTGAGAACTTGTTGTGAAAGAAATGTTGCATATAAAATAGCCACATAAAAATATAATCACCTAGGACTTGATTTAGAAAGAAACACCCTAAGCCTGTATTTTAAAGCTTAATATATTCATGAAAGTATCAAAGTGGACTTGATAAAGAGAAAGACATACCTTGTTTTAGGTAGGGTAAAGATGTCGTTTCTTTTAAATTACACATAAATTCAATGCACCAACAAACATGCAAGAATTGTTAGGAAAACCTTGGCAGAAGTAGTAATAAGAAGGACTGACCTTACCAGAAATGAGTAGGCAATTCTCAGAAGTTCTGCCAGCAGAGTCGAAGGTAGGAAAAGATGCTCAAGTGCACCCACTGCAAGGGAAGGGCAGGTGAAAACCACACTGGCCTGTTTATCATCTACCAAGTAGCACAGTCCCAGAGTGGGACAGCGCCCCCACCTGTCCAGTACTTGTACCTTGCAGGCGCGAGGCCGGAATGGCTAGGGCGTTGCTTCAGAGTCACAGGGACACCAACCCAGGATCTGTTGGTTCAGGCTTGTGCTTTGCTGTGAAAAAGCAGTGTCACCAGTACAGACCGCATCAGACCAGGTGGTGCAGTGCAGCCTGTTGGCAAATAGCCTATCAGGCACTGTTCCAAACAAACCGCTCTGCCCACCCCTGGGACACTGCTGAGCATCTCAGGAGGTGATGGGATGGGTCCATGTGAATCAATGTGATTTCCAGGCCATGTGGGGTTTGCAGTGGAGGCTGAGATGGACTTGGGATTTTAACAACAGCTATTTATTGTATATCTGCAAACATGGTTTGAACGTGTTCAGGTGGGTGCGTGTGTACGTGTACATGTAAATAGTATTTTCTAGCTGTGTTCTCGGAAAAGAGTTTTATGTTCACAATCAACTCTTGCAGCTCAGTTCAGCTTAGTTTGTGTAGACAAACTACCTGGGTTGGTGTTACACGCCCGTGCTTACGGCAGGGTCCTGCCTATGCTGTCCCCACTTCAGGGCGCAGTAGATGAACCCTGAAACAGCTCGTTGAACAACTAATCACCAAACACAAAAAATGTGGATACTGCCAGAGGGATATGGGAAACAACTAGAGGGTTCCCCTTAGGCCAAGTTTGAGAAATTTGAGATTCAAAAAGATCAATGAACTAAGGGTTGTGTTACATCCAGTCTAAAATATCAATCCTTGTTTGACTCACAGGAGAGGTGTGGAGGTTTCTAGATGATACAGAATGCATGATGGAGTCGAAAAATTACCTGTTTCAGTCTCCAGTAAATAATTGATTTAAGCAAGGATTTGGGCAAAAGGTCTTTGCAGAACAGATATAAACATATTTCTTTTTTTTTTTTAAGGAAGTTTTTTTTACACAATACATTTGTTTGTTTATTTTTATGTGGTGTTGAGGATGGAACACAGGGCCTCGTGCATGCTGGGCGAGTGCTCTACTGCCGAGCCACAACCCTAGACCCATAAACATATATTTCCCAATGTCATCCCAAAGAGTAATCTCCTGGAAATCTACCGCCGAGCCACAACCCTAGACCCATAAACATATATTTCCAAATGTCATCCCAAAGAGTAATCTCCTGGAAATAATCCCTCTCAGATTATTTTCTAATTAGAAAGGGAAAGTGTACCTTATTAATGGACAGATCAGGTGATTCCCACATATATCTAGCAATCAAATTTATCCTCCTCCTTAATGGTACAATCTGACCTATGTCCTGTTGTTTATTTTTATTTTTATTTTTTTTTAAGAGAGAGTGAGAGAGGAGAGAGAGAGAGAATTTTTAATATTTATTTTTTAGTTCTCGGCGGACACAACATCTTTGTTGGTATGTGGTGCTGAGGATCGAACCTGGGCCCCACGCATGCCAGGCGAGCGTGCTACCGCTTGAGCTACATCCCCAGCCCCCTAGGGTTCTTGCAGGACTGCCGGAGTGGCTTGCCAGACTCTAACCAGTCTGTCCATCCTACCTTGCAATGACTGGGTGGTAACTGGGCAGGTGGGGCATGGCTAGAGGAAGTGGGTCACTGGCGCTGTCCTTTACTGAGTCTAGTGAGCCCCGTGGTGTTCCCCTCACTTTCCTGTGCATCCCTGCTTTAGGGGTACTTACTTTTTCATATTTCAGGTGAGAAAGTTGACTTTCAGAGTCAGCAAGCAGCTTGCCAGACTCAGGCAGAGTGTGTCAGGTGCCCTGGTGGCTTGTGTGGTTGGAGCGCATATTTCTAGAGCCAGGACCTGGTGTGTGGATGCTCCTCTTGACTGGATGTGGCCTCCTGGTGGCGCAGGTCCGGCCAGGCCGAGGGGGCCTTCTGCTGACTGAGCCCTCCTGGTCTGCGATGGTCTGTCCACTGCATATTGCTAAGTCTGGATTTCATTCTTTTTACTTTCAACAGAGAGAAGAGGAGCAGCAGGAAGAGAAAGTTCTGTTCGGGAGCAGAGAGAAGAAGGAAGGCCGTGAAGGGAGAGCCATGCTCACGCCTGCTCTCCGGGAGGCCCTTACCAAGCAAGGTGGAACCCTGGGGCTGTCACAGGCTATGCTCAGGCACCCAGCTTGATGCCCAGGGGAGGGGGCACAAAGTAGGGCTCACCAAGGGGGAGGACACAGCCTCCTTCTGGTCAGCTCAGCAGCTGGTCATGAGGAGCTGTCGGGGCAGCCCTTGTTTGTAGGTCTCACTATTGTGCTGGTGATGGGGAGTGGCACTTCTCTGGGCAGCGTTCGCGCTATCAGTGGCTCACGTGTGCACATGGACTTCCTTACCAGCCACTGGTGTTAAGGGAGGGTCATGTGGTATGGCATTGAGCTAGTGAGAAGTGTTTTTGGTAGAAGGGTCACAGCTGGGGTTTTGCGTTCATACCTTGTTGACTTATAACCATGGTTTCTTGTAGAAGAAGAGTAATGAATTGGGAGTCTAGAGATTGACCTTCCTCCCTGTCCTTTGCACCCTTCATATCTATGAAGGGCCTTTGATGTGGCAGTTCTGGTAACGCAGAGAAACAGGAGACAGCATCTCCTTCAGGGGACCATCAGTCTGGGAGAGGGTGCAGGCCAATATTTATATGATTTAAATAATTTTATTGCACTAGACTATTTCCACTTAGGCGTTTTGTGGTAGATTACGACTGCTGTTGTGCTGTTTGTGTTCTGCTTTCCTGTTCTTGAACTTCCTTTTTCTATTTTCCAATTTTTTTAGATTGTTTCCTTGTGACCTGTGTGTCTTGTGCCTGTCGGCTTGTCAGCTTTAGCACTTTGTCATTTGGTGGTTGCTCAAGGTTGGACACCACACCTCTTTATCACATTGGAGTGTCCTTTTTTTTTTTAAATTAAAAATTGCCTTTTTATTCAATATAACATGAGTTTTACAGAAGTTAAGGCTGAGAAACTTGAAATACAGTAGTTCAACAGAAACTTATAACTTTTGGAAAATATTTGTTTGACCTCAAATGGAACATTACTCATATGACTGAATACATAACAAGATGATAGTGCTTTTCATGTTTTACAAAAAACTTTTTTTAAATCAATTTGTCATTCTGTCTCTGATTACATTCTTTTAATCTGAGGAGGTTAAAAGCAAATAGTTTTTAATCTTCTGCAATCATGGGTAGAAGGAATTCCCTCAAAAAAGAAAGCAGATATTACTTTTGCTTAATTAATGTGCTTTAAAAATATGTTGAAGCATATGAGCATTTTTCAAAAATAATTTAATAATTACTGTAACTTAATAATTGGCATCAGTTAAATCTTCTCAAGATACACTTCTTATTTGATAGAATTTTCATAGTGAACTGATTTTATAATCCCTGTTAGTTTAACTGGGCTAACTTAAAGTGAAATCAATGAAGAATATTTTATTACTTTTATATTTATGTGCATTAATTATTTGCTTCCAGAAGAACTTAGAAATGCCAATTACATAAGTGTCTAACATTTCAGTCTATAATTTGTGATGGATAAGAAAAAAGCAGGACTTTAGGATATGTATACAAGTTAAATAAAAGAAACCCTGGCACAGTTCCTGAACTTCAGGAGAACCAAGGTGCTGCCATTGGATGCCACACGGGAACCTTATTTTCATAGTCAATGTGTAACTGAATATGTTTTTCTGCCTCTTCTGTTTGTTTTGGAATGTCCTTCAACCTTGACTTCTGTTTATCCTTCTCTTTACAATGAATGCTATCAGAGCAGTCAGTTACTTTTATGTTCATGGTGCATGGCACAGAGAAGGTCATGAAGAAATCAAGGAAGGCAAAGTTTCTATAGTTCTCTAACATCACATCTTTATATAAGTTTTTCTGAGCAGGCTGAAGGCATGCCCACTCCTCTTCAGTAAAATCAATGGCTATATCCCTGAATGTTAACAGTACCCTTGCCTGGTTTTCAGGAGTAGCATTACTTGAGATCCTCAGTTCCTGCACATCAGAAAAACCTGTGACTCTGAAGTCTGGAGTGTCCTTTACGGTAAAGGTTGAGCACCGTAATCTGAAAGTTTGAAATGCAAAGTCTGAAACTTTTTTTTTTTTAATAATTTTTTTTTTTTGAGAGAGAGAGAGAGAGAGAGAGAATTTTTTAATATTTATTTTTTAGTTATCGGCAGATACAACATCTTTGTTTGTATGTGGTGCTGAGGATCGAACCTGGGCCGCCCGCATGCCAGGCGAGCGTGCTACCACTTGAATCACATCCCCAGCCCAAGTCTGAAACTTTTTGAGCCACCTGTGTGGTGCCACAAACCACACCTGATCAGTGATGGGTCTCCGTCCAAAGGCAGGGGCACTTACAGATTACTCTCAGGCTGTGTGTGCAAGGTGTTTACTAAACATGCACGAGTTTCATTTTTGCACTTGATTCTCATCCCTGACATATCAATGTACATGAAAATATTTCAAAATCTAAAAAAAATATGAAATCCAGAACATTTCTGGTCCAAGTATTGTGGTTAAAGAATATTTCGCTGTGTCACCCATTTGGTGTGGGGGGTGCCCTTACCACAGTGAGCTCTGTCTCCCTTCTGGACCTCTGTGCAGTGGTCATTGTGCTCTCCATTTCACACAACATCGTATTGGTTTAAGGGGTTGCTTATCTATTAAGGATTTACATAATTTGAAAGGCTCTTGAGTTGGGAGTGTGGCTCAGTGGCAGAGCGTTTGCTCATTGTGTGTGAGGCCTTGGGCTTGATTCCCAGTATCACCCATCAAGAAAAATAAAGAGAGGCTGGGGTGTGGCTCAGGGGTAGAGTGCTTGCCTAGCATGTGTGAGGCACTGGGTTCGATTCTCAGCACCACATATAAATAAATAAAGGTCCACTAACACCCAACAAAGTATTTGAAAAATAAAAAAGAGAGAAAGAAAAAAGACTGAATTAAATATTCTGAAAAAAGAATTTTTAAATTTTACTCATATAGATACCATACTCTTTAGGTCTGTGATCTGTCTGACATCTTTTCCATTCTTCCTGAAGAAATTCTTTTCTTTTTTAATGATGGAGGATCACTCCCGGGCTTCATGCATGCTAAGTGTGTGCTCTGTCCCGGGCTGCACCCCAGCCCAGAGAGAGGGTATCCTAAATCTGCTGCCTGTTTTCTTGATTTCCTTCTTTTCTGTTAGTGCTGGGGATTGTACCCGCCTCACTCAGGCTGGCTCCTGAGAGCAACCGTGCTTGTCTCTGGAGTCACTGACTTTTGTTGCCTAATGTTTCATATCCTAAAAACTGTGGTTCTCATATTTTGCCCACTTTTTGGTGTTTCCAGTGGAATAGTAAATCCTCTGTTGTTCTGTCCTGGCTGGGACCAGAATTCTGTACTTTGAGTTTTAGCGTCTATGTACAGTTGGCTCATCTTGGCATTGTGGTTTATGATATTTCTTTGTCCTGTAATTTGCACATTTTTAAACCTAAAAGTGGAATTGTATAGAATATTGTGTATCTCGGGAATGAGAGAGTTAAATAACTAATAAATTAGAGCATGATTTTTATGCTAGTAGCATTAACAACATAGTGTAGGAATTCGAAGAGTGGACCTAAAGTTTTCTTTGGTAGTCTTTTAAATGCTAATTCTGCACCAGAGATTATTTATTCGGTTGGACTTGGTTCCAGTCCTCAAGTCAACAGCAGTGCTTGGCTTATGTGCAAGATTTATGATCAAGCCCTGTGAACATGGCCCCTAGAGACTGTGGGTGCCACGAGTAACCAGCCCTGATGGCTTCTGCTTCACCCAGACACTCTCTCTCCATTGGCCTTATTTGTCTGCAAGTCTCTCTGTGCCAGAGATTCAAGGTGACTGTGACTTGCTCTCAAAGCGTCTGAGAAACTGCTGAATGAATTCTGAAATCAGAGTGTTCTGCTCTTTGCCCTTCTAGCTGTTTAAAAAGGAAAGACATCCATGCTTTCCATGTCTTATGTGGCTCAGCAGTTCTATACCTTTTTTGGGGGGGAGCTGGGGATTGAACCCAGGGGTACTCTACCACTGAGCCACATCCCCAGCCCTATTTTTTTGTAACTGCTTTTATTTTTTAAATACATGACAGTGGAATGCATCACAATTCTTATTACACATATAGAATACAGTTTTTCATATCTCTGTTTGTATATAAAGTATGTTCACACCAATTCATGTCTTCATATATGTACTTTACATAACGAAGTCCATCACATTCCTCCATCATTGCTACCCCCCCCTGCTCCCTCCCTTTCCCTCTCACCCCTCTGCCCTATCTAGAATTTGCCAATTCCTCCCATGCTCCTGCTCCCTTCCCCACTGTGGGTCAGTTACCTTATATTGGAGAAAATTTTTGCCATTTGTTTCTGTGGGATTGGCTAATTTCACTTAGCATTTCTTCTCCAACACCATCCATTTACCTGCAGATGTCATGATTTTGTTCTCTTTTATTGCTGAGTAATATTTCATTGTATATGTATGCCACATTTTTAATCTATTCATCTACTGAAGGCCCAGTCCTATTTTGCATTTTATTTAGAGACAGGGTCTCACTGAGTTGCTTAGGGCCTTGCTAAGTTGCTGAGGCTGGCTTTGAACTCGGTATCCTCCTGCCTCAGTCTCTTGAGCTGCTGGTATTACAGGCGTGCACTGCTGCGCCTGGCTGGCTCAGCAGTTTTAAATGTAAGTTTGCGGAGGTACTGAGAATGCACACTTGGTTGCAGTTCCTAGAATTTGGGGCAGTGTTTCTTTGTTTCAATCTCCATTGACAATCTGGTTCTTCATTTTTTCCTCAGATTGCGGATGATCGCCTCCTGGGTCATTCATGGGAAGCATAATCTTCTTTTGGCTTTAGGCCCTGGTGGGTGGTCCTTTCCGTCTTGCTCCCTGGGTCCTCAGGGAGTCTCTGCTTCCCAGGTCCTCAGGGAGTGTGTTCTATAGTTGTTGGGAGCAGTCTCCGTGTGTGTTGTGGGTCAAGTTTGTTCATTGTGTGGTCAGAGATTTTAGAGCTGTACTGAGTTTGGCCTGTGAGCTCTGTTAGGTACTGAGAGTTTAAAACCTTTGTGAATTTGGATTAGTTTGTTGTTTCTTTGAGTGTGTCATTAAATGCATGTACATTTAAAATTATTTATTTATCTTCTCAATTTGGCAAATTAAACCTTTAATATTTTCTGTTTGCTAAATTTGAATATCACCTTTTGCTGTAAGACTTTGGATGAGCTCAATCTGTGTTTCTTGCTTTTCCATTCAGGTTATCAATTGATTGGGAGCCATTCCGGGGTGAAACTTTGCAGGTGGACAAAGGTATTGTATTTGTTTTAGTTCAAATATTATTTCTATCATATGCAGCTTTTATATGGATGTTATATGCAGTGAGTGCACTATTTATAAATATAGTTTATAATTAATAAGACGAACAGACTTTTGGATGAAAGTTTTAAAATAAATGTTGGTAGACGTAGGACCCATGTCCACCATCCCAGTGAAGATAGAAGTTATTCTGCTCACCCCAGTGTGGATTTCTTTGTGCCCGTTTCGTCACCAGGGGCTGTGCTTTTGCTGCTGTTATGTTTGCCTTGCTCACGTTTCTGTGGCTGTGGCACCAGGTCCTGTGTTGTCTCCCACGAATGGCTTTAAGGCCACTGGCCGTTCCCAAGGGGCGTCTATAGTATAGAACCCCTGGTACACTCACTTCTGCTGCTCAGTCGTAGCCACTGTATTTTATCTATTGACAGATATTTGGTCTCTTTCCACAGTTTTTTATCTATTGACAGATATTTGGTCTCTTTCCGGTTTTTGGCTATCACAAATAAAATGGTTGTGAACATTCCTTGTTCTTTTGAAACCTTGGTGAAAAGCATGATTTGTTAGGAAAATAACACTACTATGGAGAGGCCGGGTGGAGGTTGCTTGAGCCCATGAGTTCAGGGCCAGCTGGGCAATGCAGTGGGACCCATGTCAAGAAACAGAAGATGTGGTCCTGCTGTTCTGGCTGGGCACTGCCTCTACCTTTCTTCTCTGTGCCTGCGGGTCAAGGTCCCCGGCTCCCTGGCAGTGTTTTGGTGGCCCTCTTGTGCCTAACAGGAGACCCCCTTGTCTTCTCCTCTTACCTGTCTCCTGGTTGCCCCAGGCTGCAGCTGAGCTTTGCTGGAACCCACAACCTTTGTGCTCCTCTAACGGAGCACCTTCCTTGGTCCCTGTCGTTTCCAGGGCGTCGCATGTCGTCCATGTGCTCTCTTGCGTCCTTTGGGTGCTCTCTGCTCCATAGGCTGTTGCTGTGACTTGTGGACGTCCAAGAAACTCTTCCCATTGTGTTTTGTTTTTTTTTTAACTTTCTAATCCTCTACCTTTATCCTAAGGTACACGAATGTTCCAGCAGATGACACCTCTGTCACCTTCTGTTATCCCTTCCACTTTTGTGACAGTATACTAAACCTTGTTAATTAATTACATACTTCTCATATCCCAAATTCGTTTTTTGCATTCCAATGATTTTTAGTAATATCAGATTCAAATGCTTTCTGTTCATAGCTAGTATTTTGTAACATTCTTTTTACTACTGCTATTTCAAGTTTACAGGTAATACAATATTACATACATAACTTAAAAAAATGGAGTTTTGCTCAAGATAAATGTAGAGGAGGAGGCCGTCTTCTGTTTAGTGTCTGGGGCCTCTTGCAGAACATGCGTGTACCACTGCACCAGGGGCGCAGTGGAGCGCCAGTTGCTTGCCTGGGCTCCTAACAGAGAAGTCTGGCCTCGGGAGGTGTGAGGAGACAGGTGCCTTTTTACATGAGAGGGAGAAGGACAGCAGCTTGTGGGTGTGTGGGGGGAGAAGCAGGGACGACCCCAGCCAAGGCATGAGGGTAAGCTGACAGAGCGTATCACGAGAAAATGGGAATGGGTTGTCCTGGCAGACAAGCCAGGTCTCACTTTAAACTAGAACAGACATTTTTCCCACAGTGCCACTGGGGGGTAGTGATGGGATGTCACAGAAAAGAGGTCTGTCTCCAAACCCCACGTCCTGTTGAGACCTGCATTCAGCCTCAGTTCCTAGCAAGGCTTGGAGATCCCATCCTTCAAACAGCAAATGGGATAAAGGGAGTGGTCAAGAGAAATTCTGTGGCCAACCTCTGGTGACAGTCTGTCTCCCTGTAAAATCTTAAAATGACAGACAGCTCTAAGACAGCTTGAACATATAGCCATCACAAGGTAGGCTTTTCATCCTTGGGCTGTAAAGTCGTTTACAGTCTACACAGTGGCAGTGACAATCCTTGGAACAGGTTCATCAGGGAGAACCATGTGCCCACGTGTTCAGCGCAGAATGTCTAGGCCTCTTCTCGGAGGCCTGCAGTGGCTCCCACCCCTCCTGCTCAGCACCTGGGATCTGTAGGGCTCCTCGCTGTCCGCACTCCACCCTTGGTCTTCGCTCGTTAGTTAGCAGTGTTGCTCGGGCAAAACTTTCCTTTCTCTCATCTCCCCATCTGTTCCATGAGCAGGTATCTCCTCCCACACACAGAGTCTGACTGCTTTTCTCCACTGAGGCTGCTGCACCTTGGTTTGGATCACCTGCATACATCCCCACACCACCTCACTCTACTCAGTCTCTCTGCTCTACTCCTAGGCTCCTGCGCGGTCTGACTGCTGCACAGCAGCCAGATGGAGGCCATGTCGCGTGATCACTCATTGCCGTAGGGTGCTGTGGTCTCCCCTTGCTCCTGGGGCGTACCAGGGGTGACCCCATCAGAGAGCCCTGCCCTGGCCTCGTCCAGGCAGCAGCCTCCCCACCCACCAGGAGCCACCCCTTTGTCCTTGGTCCCAGCACTTGGCCTTTAGACCTTGCAGCACTTAGAGCTGCTCTCCTCCTCGTTCATTGCCTGTCCCCATCTCGCTCACTTCCTCTTCCCAGCGTAAGGGTTTTGTTTTATGTGGCACACTCAAGAGTCCTGGCATGTAACAGTTGCCCAGTGAAGTTCCTTGGGGGACAAATGATAGAAGGAAGCCCTGAACCCAAGGAATGTCCTGTTTAGTATGGTTCTACGCACTTTTCCCTGCTCTTACATCCACACCTCAAGTGCTGTAGCTTTTCTTGGGGGGGTTCTTTCTGCTGCTCATGCTGGCCCATTCCTTCATCTTAATTTTCTCCTCCCCATTCCAGTCTCTACCCGACCAAATCCTCATCTGTATCAGTGAGGAAAACAGAAACTCCTTGGGTGTATTTTAGTAAGAACAATGAGGTGAATTAAGTAAATGCTTGCAAAACGCCTGATAGGCCGGGAGGAGTGGAGGTCAGGGTGAACTGCTTCTGACTCCAGGATGCTGCTTCGAGGGATCCAAGCTGTGCCCATCAGCTGCCTGGGGTCTGCCTTGGGGAGTCCTCCAGCCGCTGCCCGAGGGCAAGCATCTGCCGTAGGTGCACCTTGTTTATTGGTAGAGTCTAAATGAGCAGGCTTTGGGCGAGGGAGTCTGCAAGGGTTTGGGGCTTCCCATTCCTGCCTGAGGGAGGTAGAGGCTGGGCTTCAGCAGACAGTAGCCAGTATAGTCTGCTCTGGACCTCAGTACCCATGCCTGCCCTTCAGCCTCACCTGTACAGTAGTCTAGACAGTATGTGGGCCTCTGCCCTCTCTGGTGCAGGTGTCCTTGTAAGGGAGAAGGTGTTCAGGCTCCTCTTTGAAGTGTCTTGATAGCCTGTGCTTTAGCTGACTGCCATGGACCCACCTGAAATAAGGCAGGGCAGAGAGGAGGGAGCACTGAGGGCTGGGGAAGGCCTGCCAGGGTGCCACTGTCATCCCCTCATGCCACGCCGTCGCTTGGTCATTACTGGCCCTTGTGGTATCCTTCACTGCTGGTCAGGCGGTGCTCTGTCTGCCAGGGGAGGTGAGCTGCCAGAGACCTCTGCTCCTATCCCTCTCCATGATGGCTCCTGTTCTGGGAGTACTGAGGTGTTGCAGTGGCTTTGTTTTCTGTTGACTTTGTTTTCTGTAGGATCCCTGTAGCCGGCACACCAGCTCTTTGGACTCTTGGTCTGTGGCATTTGGTACTGCACAGAGCCAGGCAATGGTGCTTCTGTCTGGAGAGTCCATGATTTTCCTTACTTGTGAGCTGAGGAACCGCCTGGCAGAGGGCACAGGACCCAGGTCAGAGAGCCTGGCAGGCAGCCAGGCAGCGTCCTCATGCTGCCTCCTCTGGAGGTGACGTGGGCAGTGCTGGGTGCACAGCAGGTGCATGTGGCAGCTGAGGAGCCCCAAGTTGGCCAATAGTGCCAGGGCCCGGGATGGGCTGCCAAGAGATCTGAGGCTGAACCATGCTCCTGGGGCTGCCCCAGGGAGACCTCCGCTTCTCATGGTGCTCATCACCAGCAGTGCGCCTCTGTCTCTCAGGACTCTGCTCAGCGGCTGCTGGCTGGACATGCATTGTCCTCTCTGGAGGGCCAGCCCCATGCCTGTCGCTACAGGAAGAGAATTTGTGGTTAGATTTTAGAAGTGGCAACATTGTTAGCGGAGCTTCTTTGTCCTATTGTATGACCAGCATCCCAAGGAACCTGGCTTCCTGCCCTTGTACCCAGCAAATGAGAGACCTGGCGTCCCTTCAGAAAGTATTATCTGGACATCCGCCTGGGCTCTCTCTTGTTGTTTCCTTAACCTGGCTGGGTTTTTGGGAACTGAGAGGGATGTTTCAAAGACATAGTGCTTTTTATCAGTCCCCCTTTTCTGCAAGGATGGCACATTGGGTAATCCCCAGTCTTGTAGAAGGGCTGCTTGCAAACCCGCTAGCCTCTGCCTGGAAGGTCCACTTTTCTAATCAGGAAATGAATCTGCCTTCTATGTGGAGGAAGGCATCTCTTCCTTCAAAGGTGTTTGGAAGTAAAGCTGGTGGACAGAGATCTGTCCACATGCCTTGCCCTGGAGGGAAGCGCTCTTCTTCTTAGAACCTGTGTAAACCAGAGTCAGCCCCTGAGGCTGGGAGGTGGCAGTGCAGTGGTGATGTGTTGCTAGGCTCAGGTAGGATGCCCCACGCCTGTCTCCAGCTCTGTCCAGTAGGATTACTGCCCTGCAGGGGTGGTCAGTACTGTCCTCCACACAGCATGCTCACCATGTGCTCTCTGCCTGACCTGAACTAGCCCTGAGTGATGCAGCCAGTAACCAGGTGCTGCTGTTAGACACTGGAATGTGGCTGCCGTGAGTGAGGAATGGACCTGTTCAGCCAGGAAAGTGTGGCTCCAGGGGTCCTGGTGGAGGAGGACCTAATTTGATGAAACCACGATTTCATTTGATAGTCTCTAGCCTATGGATGGGACATGCAGTGTGTATCATTGTGCTATTGTGATACAAGAACACATCCTTGATCTTTGTTTTGTGTTCCTGACACAAGAGCTTCCAGAGTCCTTTGTGCTTCTTGAGTGACGGAGGCGGGAAGGACTCCTTTGTAACGAGTAATGTATATGTTACAGCTTGTGTCAGTGCTCTGGATGCCAGCTGAGTGTCTAGTGATCCAGCTGAGACAGCACGTCTGTCCAGAGTTAGCAGTTGGCCCCATGTGTTGAAGGCTTAGCCTTGCAGGACTGCCCACTTCAGATACCCCACCAAGAGGCTCCTCGTACTGGACACCATGGTTGGCTGAAAGGGGTCCTCAGCAGTTTGCTTATGATATGTCTGGATATGGTTTGCATTTGGTTTATCTTATTTGTTTCCCTGAGTTTAATCTGCAAATTTAGGACTCTCACAAAATTTGAGAATTGATTGATCATTGTTTCTTTTGATGATTTTGCTGCATTCCTCTTCCTACTGAGCTCCAGGAACACAGGCAATAGCTGTTTTGACATTCTTCACATGTCCTAGAGGTGCTGGCCATGCTTATCCAGACCTCTTCTGGTCTTCAGAAGGGCACTGCCTTTCTTCTTATCTTCCTTTTCCTCTAGTAATAGCTGCTTTGAATTTTTGTCTGGTTCTTTCAATGTTTGGGTCATTTCAGGTATGCAGACATTTATGGCTTTCTCCTTGAGTCTCAGTTCCATTGTTCCAATCCTTTTATGTCCAGGACTTCATTGAGGTTTCAGTGGAAATGTGTAGTAAAACCAAAGAAGATTGCTAAGCTTTTTTGAACTCTTGAAAATAAGCGCTTTATTCATTTGTTTGGAAGAGGTTCTTCCCAGATAACGTATAGGTTGGGGCGGGTGGTCTCCAGCTTCTGTGGAAATGCCAGGCCAGAGGAGAGGGTACCAGTCCACCGTCTGCTGACAGTGTGAAGGGCTGGTGCGTGGTGCCGCAGCTGGGAACAGTTGCCTTCTGGGAAGTAGCCCAGCAGTGCCAGAGCGTGCCTGGTGCCTGGTGAAGAGGCCACGGCGGGGCTTACGGTTCAGATCCCTTGTCCTCAGAACTTCATTTACCTTTGTTTGTCATTAGAACAACATATTCTTATATAAGAAAAAATATATAACAATTAATATATAAACAATGTAATAATTATTTTTATAACATAGAAATTTGGGTATATATTTTTGATTTTTTAGTACATTGCAATCAAGCTGTATATGCAATTTTGTATCAGTTGTTTTCATCCAAGATGCATTTTCCTATTTGTGTAATTCTTAATGACTATAATTTTTGATGACTGTGCCGTAGTTTAATTCATTAGTCACCTGATGCTGATGACATTTCCAGTTTTCCCTACTATAGATTAACTGTGGAAAATGAGTTTTTGTCACTATATGAAGAATGAAGTTTTATTTGCATTTAGATTATTTCTTTAGAAAGAAGTCCTAGAAATGATATTAACCAATTCAAAGTGTTTATTTGGCCATTTATTATAACTTTCTGTGAACTGTTTCTTTAAACTTTCGTGAAGTCTAGATCTCTCATTAATTGAACATATTTTTCTAATTTGGAAATTGCCCTTTGTTATTTATTTTTTTATTTTTTATTTTTTTTTAAAGAGAGAGAGAGAGTGAGAGAGGAGAGAAAGAGAGAGAGAGAGAGAGAGAATTTTTAATATTTATTTTTTAGTTCTCGGCGGACACAACATCTTTGTTGGTATGTGGTGCTGAGGATCGAACCCAGGCCGGCACGCATGCCAGGCGAGCGCGCTACCGCTTGAGCCACATCCCCAGCCCTGTTATTTATTTTTTCTGTTGCTGGGAATCTGCCCCAAGGCTTTGTACATGCTAGGTACTATACTGAGCTATACCCTTCCAGGCCTGTTTGATATTTTCTTTTCTTTTTGGTACCAGGGATTGAATCCAAGAACATTTAACACTGAGTCATATCCCTAACCCTTTTTGTTTTTTATTTTGAGGTCTCAATAGGTTGCTCACAGCCTTGCTAAATTGCTTAGCCTGACTTCAAACCTGCAATCCTCTTGTCCTGAGCCACTGGGATAACAAGGACCATCATATCCAGCCCCTGTTTGATTTTTGGTATACTTAATTTTTAAAAAAAAATTTAATTTGTTCACCTTTGTGATTTTTGCCTTTTTTTTTTTAAACCCATGGATTTGGAAAGCAGTAATTTCTGTCTTCATTTAGATTTTTAAAATGGGTTCTTTAGTCAGTTTGCAATTTATTTTGCTCTGGAACATAAAATAAATATCTAAATCAGCAGTCCTGAGGTGTTCTTGAAGAGTCGGACAGTGACTGCTCTGAAGCACTCCCTGGTCTCTTGTGGGTCATGTGATCTCTGTCACCTCTTCTGTTGTAGCACAGACCCAGAGCAGCCCCCAGAGCAGGTGAGCAGATGGGGCCTGCTCCAACTCTGCTTCACTTACCCCTGGATGGTCGGCTAGGTGTGGTCTGTGGGCAGTAGTTCATTAATCTCTGAACTGAGGTCTTTAGCTTCCTCTCAAAAATCAGAGTTGGAAATTTCACCCTACTTGCAAGATAACGAATCATCTGGCACAGTTTCATGGGTGCAGGCAGAAGACTAAGCCTCTGGTCAGACATAGGGCTGTTTCTCACTCTTGAGTTGTAGTCCCCACAAAGCGGCCCCAGGAGGGCCAGGTCACTCTGCCCAGGCCTTCTGGAAGGGGAACCTAGACAGAGCAAACAGGAACCTTTGATAACTGCCAACAGTCCTGGCTGACTTGTGCCCACTGGGACTATTTCCTTAAATGGTAACAGGCAGGAGACTCGCCTGCCATCTGCTCCAGAGGGAGATACTACTGTGTCTGTCTCCTAAAGGGGCCATTTGCCAAGCTGAGAGTGTAGAATGAAGGCAATAGGTGTCGCTGTCTATAGTCCACTTAGAAGAAGACCAGTGGAGAATCCGCTCCCAGCACTCCATGAAGACAGCTTCTCCCCAAGCCCATGCCACAGAGCCTTGCGGGAGTGAAGTCCTTGATTCATTCAGTGTGACTCTGCTGGGCTAGGATCATGGGGATTGAACCTAAGGATGCTTTGCCACTGAGCTACATTCCCAGTTCTTCTTAGTTTTTATTTTGAGACAGGGTCTCAATTAGATTCTTAGAGCTTCATTAAGTTGCTTAGACTTGCCTCAAACTTGGGATCCTTCTGCCTCAGCCTCCTGAGTCCCTGGGATTACAAGCACGTGCTGCTTTCCCTTGAAGATTAGAATTCATGCATCAGTGAATCCAAAGCTATCTCTATATTTATTTTCTCCATTTATAATAAATGCTTTTGATTCTGAGCATGTATATTGTTCGTAGGTCTTTTCCTTTTCAATGCAGCCTGCGTGTGGAGTTTTGAATGGAGAGGCACCTTCAGTGTAGTGTCTGGGGACTGCTAGTGTGCAAGGTGCTGTAGCACCAGGTTCCCTGCTGTCTCTTTCTGGTGCACCAGGTGCTGTAGCACTGTGGTCCCTGCTGCCTCCCGCTAATGTGCAAGGTGCTGTAGCACTGTGCCCTCTGCTGCCTCCTGCTCAGTGCTTGGCAGCCCCGGAGCAGAACACAGGATGCAGCCCTACTGAGCTCTGAACAGTGGAAAGAGGAGGGCTCTTTGCGTTGGGCCCTAGGACTGGAGGGACAGTGCAGCAGCAGGGTGTCTTACATCCCCCACCAACAAGAAGGTGGCATCCCCGACCTAGCAATGGAGGCCTCGCAAGGCTCATTCCTTTCCTGGCTGGTGCAGTTCCTCTGAGGTCCAAATTATCACAGTCACTGGGCCTCAAATCCTCGGCTGTCTGGGATGCTTCCTTTGTCCCCTCCTGCCCGGGGAGTGACACCAACGACACTCTGTGCCTTCCCTTCTCCTCCCTGGCCTTGGAATCTGGCTGCGATGGCCTCTCTTCCACAGCCTTCCTGGGGCTCCACCACTTTTACTTTTGCTGAAATCAAGACTGTCCTGTGCGGAGCTTCTGGGTGCATCTTTCTGCCGATGCCTGGATAGCTTGATCTCTTGATTCCAGGCCTGAGCTGACTTTTCAGGTGGCCCACTCCCTGCACTGAGGGGTTTGTGTGTTCTTACTGCTCAGTGCTGTATGCTTTTGTCCCTCCCATTAAACAGTGTTTCTCTTGGGGTCTTCTGTGTCCCACGAGCATGCTGCTTCCCTGTAAACTCTTTAGAACGTGTTCAGATTCTGTCCCTTCAGTCCACAGGAAATGATCTCTGAATGCATCCCCTTTCCCATCCTCCCTTGTTCCCAGTGGGACCCTCTGGCATCTGAGTGCGGCTCTCATTGCTCAGGAGCTGTCTTGCTGTCCCCAGTGCTGTGTGGGCGATTCTGTGGCTTTGTATGTGGGGGTGCTAGTGGCCCTCCTGTGGTGTTACCCATTACTCAGAGGTAATGGGTCAGAGGCGTACTTCAGGGGGTTTAAAGAGCCCAGGCAGGACCCGAATATCACAGTGTACAGACTGTAGAGTGTTACACCGTGCAGAGACCAGCAGGGGTACCTGGAACTCGCGGCTTTCCCTTAAAGGCAGGACGATGCCTTGGTGTTCTCTTTCTCTTCTCTTTCTCCATGGTTTTGCTCTAGTGACCTCTGGCTTTTGCTTGTCACAGTCAATGCTCCGGGGGAGAGGAGGCTGCTACAAACACACTTTCTATGGCATCGAGAGCCACCGCTGCATGGAGGCCACCCCGAGTCTGGCATGTGCAAACAAGTGTGTCTTCTGTTGGCGGTAAGTGGATGTGTAGCTGGGGGCCGCGCCGCCCCGAGAGGCCTTCCTGCCCAGAATCGAGGGCCTGTGTGTGGGCTGCTCTTCTCTTGAGCAGGGTAATGGGAGGTCGTCAGCTGCTTCGTTGTCAGCAGAAGTAGGTTTTAGTGTACAGGTCTGCTGCACTACATCTTCGTTAATACTAATCAACTAATACTCATTAATACTAAAAAGCTCATCAATATTCAGTGCTTTATATGTCTTTAATTATAATTCTTTACCTACATTTCATAGATTTCTATTGGTAATATGTTAATTATTATTCAGTTAGAATATTTACTCATTTCCATGTGAATTCTGTGTAACTCAGTGGGTCAAAATAAGTTATTATTAAATAAGTGTTACCTGTAATTAGGTTTTAGGAGGTTATGTTTTTGTTATTCACTGTACACCCAATTGTTTCATTGTTGCGGAACGTGTTCTCTGTAATACAGAATTACTTGAAATTTATTGAGAAGTACTGTGTGCCTCGTTACGTGGTTGATTTTTAAAACTATAACTGTACATGAAAAGTCTAAAACCTGTGTGTCTGATTAACTGCATGGAGTTCTTTTGGTTTTTGGTACTTGCTAGGTCTTTCTCTTTGCTTCCTTTGTATAACTTCAACCTTATATTTCAGGCATGTTGTTCATAAACGAGTGTTTGGATCGATTTTCTTAAACTCAACATTATTGAGGTCTGATTGACAGATGACAAAATGTTCCTATTTACTTAAACCTAGTTTGGCAAGTTTTGGTCAGTGTGTGCCTGTGGGACTGCAGCCATGTTCCATGGAACGTGTTCTTCACCCTAAAGCAGCTTCTCTCACCTTACCTGAGCCCCAGTCAAACTGATTTACTTCCTGACAATACGTATTATTTTTCTTGCATAAAAACGGAATTGTCTGCGTTTATGTGTGTAGTTTCCTTTGCTCAGTAAAATGGTCTGAGCACCTTCCACGTTGAGTGTCCACATTGAGTGTCGATACCTCGTCCCTTTTGTTGCCAGATAGTCTGCTGCATGGTCATGCTTCAGTTTCTAATCTGCTCATCTCTAGGTGAACATTCTGGTTGATTTCTTGACACATCAGGGAAAGAAAAGCACAGGCCAATACCCTTAATGAACTAGGGAGTAGAAGTCCCTTGAAAAAATATTAGGAAAATTTATTAAAAATATGTTAATCTGATGTGCACCATGATCAAGTGGGCTTCATATCAGGGGTGCAAGTTGGTTCAGCTTGCCGATCACTTCATACTGTTTCCTTTTTTTTTTTTTTAAATTGTTGATAGATCTTTATTTTACTTATCTATTTGTATGTGGTGCTGAGAATCAAACCCAGTGCCTCACCTGTGGCAAGTGTGCTACCACAGAGCCCCAGCCCCTCCTTTTTTTTTATATTTAGTTTTTAGTTGTAGTTGGACAAAATACCTCTGTTTTATTTTTATTTATTTTTGTGTGGCGCTGAGGATTGAACCCAGGGCCTCACATGTGCTAAGTGAGCGCTCTACTGCTGACTCTGCCCCAGCCCTGCTTCCTTATTGAAGAATAATGTGGCCTGATTTAAAACCCTTGGCTTTCTTTCTGAGTTTGCAAAACTGGCAAAAACCCTGGGATAAGTAACAGATGTTTTTGGGAAATGACATTAGTGTAGCCCAAGGATAGTATACTTTAGCCTTATGGAAGAATGGTTCAAAGTAGGTTTTCCTTTAATTAAATATTTATGTGATTGCCAGAAACAGCAGTGGTCTTTGTGTGGCCAGGTCTATGCATCTATGAATAAAAAAATGAATGGCCATGAAATAATTTCTTTCATAAGAGTCTTTTTTTCCCCTTGCCTAAAGGAAAATGAAAATTGTTAGAGATAACCAATAATCTGCCTTTAGAAATACAATTTTGAATAGATCTTCTGAATAGGTTCATTTAGGAAAAGGACTTATGGTTTTACTAAGGCGGGGGATCATGAAGACAAAAATTTTGTTATTGTTATTGCCTTTTCTCACTTTAGAATGGGGACTAAAACGAGCAATTTCTCACTGAAATTTAGATTACTAAATGCTATATTAATTTTCCAAATTCTAATTAGACCTTGCAAAGGAGAATTTGTCATAGCAAACTTATTCCAAGACAAATTTGTTTTAAGTTTATCTTCAAACTGAAATTTTAGAAAGATCATGAGCCAGGGAATGCAAATTATTCATATATAATCTCTTTCACAATTTTTTTTTTTGTGTGCTGGGCACCACAGCATACACTGTAATCCCGAAACTCTAAAACAATGAGGCAGGATGACGACAAGTACAAAGGCAGTATGGAGAATTAGTGAGACCTTGTTTCAAAAAAAATAAAAAGGGCTGGGGATGTAGCTCAGTAGTAGGGCAACCCTGGTTCAATCCCCAGATCTTGTGCATGCTAGACAAGCCCTTTAGTGTCCTTAGATGTAAGAAAGCTTTTTAAAAGTTCTGAATTCCAAGATGAGTATTTTAATGACCTTTTAAAAAATGGCTTTCTACAGATCATATTAGATGTTCCCTGTGCTTTATGAAATTTCCTTTGCCTCAACTACTATAGTAATACTACCATATCAATCTGTTTTAAATGGAACCAAATATGTAACATGTGTAACCAAAGGTAAAATCTGCATTCAACTTTAGGGAAAAGGCCATGAAAATACAAATAAATGCTAACATTCAAAAAAATAAATAAATAAATAAACCCTTGGCTTTCAAACCCTCTAGTGAGTTTCTGTTTCAGTTATTGCAGTTTGGTCTTCCTGGCTCCGCACCTCTGCTGGCCACCATTTTGTCTGTGTATCTTTCACCGATGCCCTGCCTTTGTTGAGGCGTTGCTCTCTCGTCTCTCCCACTTGCCTCATAGGCTCCGCCAGCTCCCTGTGTGTGTTGGAGGTAATGGGATAAGGCCTGCTCTGGTGGACCTGCCATCGTCCTCAGGGAAAGCCTGGTCCGAGTCTCTGTGAGCCTGCCTGTGTTCCTCGTTTCTCTTCATGCTTTGAAAGCTGCAGAGTTTGGTTAGTATAATGTGTTAACTCTGGAAATAAAATTCTCTTTTTTTAATGAAAATTTTTTTTAGTTGTAGGATTCTTACTTTGTATTAAAATATTTTTTCAGTCACACTTGGACACAATATCTTTATTGTATTTATTTATTCTTTTGTGGTGCTGAGGATCTAATCCAGCACTTTGCACATGCTAGTCCAGCGCTCTACTGCTGAGCCATACCCAGCCCCTAGAAATCGGATTCTTCCTACTCCTCAGGATTAGTTTATTGCTTCCTCTGGATTTTAGTTCTTTCTTGTTTAGTGAGTTGTCTAAACAAAAGAATCTATGCTTGATTCACTTACTCTGGAAAACTCTTGTGTTTAATGAAAAATTAAATAAGCATTTCCTATATAAAAGAGTCTCTTCCTTGTTATGTATTGTCTCTGAAGCCTGTCTGTTAAACTTAATGGTCAGCTAATATTTTGACAGAGATTTTTCTTAAACTTGTGGGGCTAAAGGGCCTGGGGGAAAACAACCTCTCCATGTCCTCTTGTAGATTGACCCTGTTGGGATACTCTTTTCAAGGTTGGACAGTCCATTTAGAGCTGGGCTTCAGTCTTCACTTCCTGTTTATGCTGAGTCAAAAGGTCAAGCACAGGTGACAGTTTAGGTCTTAGTTCTTTTCTTAGCGTGTATCCCATGATGCATGAGACCTTTTAAGTTTCTGGGCTTCAGTGAGCACTCTTCAGTGTCCTATCTCTCTCCTTGTTTCTTCTCCAGCCATTGGACTGTCTGTTGCCTTTCTCAGCTATGACCCTCTGACCTGGTCAAGACTCGGTTGTGCATGTACCTGTCACAACCCATGGAGAGGCAAGTAGAAAGAGGGAATTGTATAATGCATTTCCTCGCACATTTATCATAGACAGTCATGTTCCATTTACCTCCTTTAATCCTGTTTTGATACAAATGTTGGCCACTATATTGCTTATCTGTATACTTCAGTTGACAGATGAAGTAAAACGTAAAAATAAGGCCTTTGAAAAAGAATATAGCAGCAAAGCTATCATCTCATATTAAGTTCTTTTGCATGTTTTTCCTTTTCTGTTTGTCTAGGGATATGTTGAAAAGCAAAAGTGTTTTGTTGGGCATCCTGTTAAATCGGTGGTTTCTCCACTGGGGACAGAATTGCTGTATTTCATCACAAAGGGAGACTTGGGGACATTTAACAACACCTGAAACATTTTGATTGTTGAAACTGATGAGGGTGCTCTTGACATCAGTAGGTGGCGGCCAGGAGTGCTGCTAAACACCTATAACACACAGGTCAGCTCCCCATAGCAGGGAATGGCCTGCATGATGCCCGCTGGGCTGCAACTGAGACCTTTCTGGGCACAGTGGTCCACACCTGGGACAGTGCAGCACTGAAATAAATGGAGATACGACATGTTTCCTTTAGGAGCAGAGTGTGTGCTTATAAAAGTGGGGTGGGGACTTTCAAGACAAAAGCTTGCTGGCTCTGGATCACTGGGCTGTAATATTTGGATTGTATTATTCTTAGATGGTGAGAGAAATGATCAAATGCTTTGTGCTCTAGTTCTCACTGTTTTTCATTTTACAGTAAATGTAATTCCTGATCTCTTTAAGATTGTTGACATAGTGTTTTTTTAGGTCAGAATTAAAAAAAAAGAGGGCTGGGTTTGTGGCTCAATGGCAGGGCACTTGCCTACCAAGTGTGAGGCACTGGGTTTGATCCTCAGCACCTTAAATAAATAAATAAATACATACATACATACATACATGCATTCATACATACATACATCAACAACTAAAATATATTTAAAAAGAATTCAAAAAAAGAAAGAGCACAAGGATTATACCTCTTACCTTTGTTGCCTGTTTATAGCTAGTAAATAATGCAGTCCTTTGGTTTCCTGAACAATAAATTTACTCAGATTTTTGAAAAGCACACAATATGTTTAACAGTGTTACG